CGCTTCCTCCGAATGGATTCCTTGACGACCCCTACGGCAACTTCGCGACAGCAACCTTCTCCAGCCGCGTCCTCATCCGCCATTGCAGCCCCTTTTCCAGGATGCCCTATGACAACCACTGGTCCCACCAACCCGGGATATGGCTACTCTGCCCCAGTGGAGTCAACTCCAATGCCTATCAGTGACGACCCGTGGACTTCAACCCATCCGCAAAATCCATCCATGACGGACTCTCAGCTTCGCCAACGGGTGGTGCATACCCAGTTGTTCAAACTGATCGAAATGGATGACGGTCCCCAACGGAGAACGGAACTTTGGATCTCCGAGGCGGACTGGATGGGACGTGAGCGTCTCAGGCACCTGGAACATTTCTTCAATGAAATTGTGGGTCATGTGAAAGACAAGTGGGGCCATTCCATCTACGAATGGAGGGAAGCCGTCATTTCGGGGTCCAAGAGGTGCCCTATGAATTTCATCAAATTGAAGAAACAACCAACACTCCTGACAACCCGGATGGATGATGATGAAGCGGATGACACCTCTGCCATGGGACACCCACCGGACACCCATGAGGTCCCATCGGTGCCCTTACAGAACAGCCAGTTGGCACATCTATACGATGTGTTGATTCAAGACCCTGAGTTCAATGCCCCCATCCTTGATGTGCGCCAGGCTCCGCCACAAAACCCTGCGGAGAGCAATGTGCGTCTACTCACCCGCGAGGGCCTGGCCCAGCTAGGCAGCCACTTGGCGATCAATGCCAACATCATGGCCCAGAGTGTCGGCGCGGAAGCAGAGATCCCTGACTGATGATGAAGCGCATGTAGGGTAGTCCACATTGTACAGCGACGACCTTTCAGTTTCGTTTCTGGCATTTTGATCATTCGATCCGAGACCAGCTGACAAGAAATCTCATTTCTGCTCTGTCACGCTTCTTCCAAAAAAGCCCTGCGGCAGCGGGGCGTGTGTGTGAACCATCTGAAGAGATGTAAAACTTCTACTCGTTTGTTTCTCCTTTCGTATCTAGTTCGTGCAGGGGGTCTTTTCGTATCTAGTCAATGCAGGGGGCCACGGCTCCATTCATCAGTCCGTGGCCAACGAAGCTACTGATGTTTGGAGAGGATATGCAGTCTGATCAATTGCATGTCCCTGCGAGCCAATTTATTTCACTGGAATGGCAAGCGGCCAAGCCAAGAACCGCCAAGTCGATGGTTTTCGATTTCCTTTTGCTGTACGGTTTTCGCACTCTGTCAAGTTGGGAGCGATATGGCTTTATTGAACGGGAAGGGTCAGCTTCCAATTCACTCCATTTAGCACTGGCTATGGCGATGGCAGCCTTCACTGTTTTTCAGATCCTATCAGCGACCTGCTCCTGTCAGGTTTAAAGGGATTGTTTTTGCACATAAGATGCACTCCGCAACAAAATTCGCAATGACAGTTCTGAGCAAGTGTGTGAAGTGAAATCGTTTATCAGTAAAAGTTCCTGTTCTCTCCTCGACAATCTTTGCGCTCTTGATGACCAATTTCATGCATTCTTTCGACATGCCGTGCAATCGCAACAACAAGCGCTTTGCTCCAACATTTCTACAATATTTTTGCTTCGCAAACCGAAAGATTGAGACTGCTTGTCTAACTCTTTGCAATAGGCCAGCGGCCAGCGGGCCCAGGTGAAAACCCAAGAAAATTGTGAAGCTGTGCGAGGCAGCTACCCGATCAAAGTTCATCCTCACAGTGGGTCTTGATGGTCACATCGGAGGTAGCATAAGTCACACAGGTGAGGCAGAATCCATCACCCATCTGGTCATCATCCAAGAAGGCCTGATCACTCTGGTCAATGCTGCCCTCCAGCACTTTGCCGGCGCAGCTGGAGCAAGAGCCGGCGCGGCACGAGTAGGGCAGCTCCAAGCCTTCTTCCTCTGCCTGATCCAAGATGTACACATCCTCAGGGCACTCAAAGGACTGCGTGCCATCAGGCGTCTCCAGGGTCACCTTGAAGTGGGCCGGCACGCCAGGACGAGAGGGGATAGCGTTGACTATGGCCGGCACATCACCAGCGGCCAAAACACTGCTTGACAGGGCCTTGCAGCCCAAGTGCACGCTCTGCTGAGGCGCCACAAAAGTCTCTGCATCGCTCCACGCAAAGCTGCGCAAGAGTGCAGCACAGCAGGCTGCAGCCAACAAAGCAGGCAACACGCGGGACTGGGACGCCATTCTGGTGGTATCGGGGTGCCAAATCCGTTTTTTCAATATTGATCTTCTGTTCGGTAGGAAAGGTTTGAACCGCAAAGCCCCAGCCATGTACAATGCGTTTCCAGGTCGTTGGAGTTTGCAGGCGTGCGTTCGTGCGCGTTGTTACATATAACCATGGGTCATGATCGTGTGCGGGGCAGCGTTCTCTTGACCTTGTTGTTCCCCACATCTTTGTGTGGGGTTCTTGTTTTTGATTCTGTATCCCTCCCGCTCCTCCTCCCGCTCCTCCTCCGCCCGCTCCTCCTCTTTGTCAACCACCATCTTTGTCACGCCGTCTCTCACACACATCTTTGTCAACCACCATCTTTCACACACATCTTTGTCAACCACCATCTTTCACACACTATCTTTCCCACACATCTTTGTCAACCACCATCTTTCACACACCATCTTTCACACACCCCTTTGTCACCCACCATCTTTCACACACCATCTTTCACACACATCTTTGTCACACACCATCTTTCACACACATCTTTGTCACACACCATCTTTCACACACGCATCTTTGTCACACAACATCTTTCACACATATCTTTGTCACACACGATCTCTCACACACATCTTTGTCACAAACCTCTTTCGCACATATCTTTGTCGACCACCATCTTTCACACACCATTTTACACACACACACATCTTTGTCAAACACACACCATCTCTCACACACATCTTTGTCACACACCACATCTCACAACCATCTTTGTCACACACCATCTTTCACACACACACACACACCATCTTTCACACACATCTTTGTCCCACACCATCTCTCACACGCACATCTTTGTCACACACCTCATCACACACATCTTTGTCAACCACCATCTTTTACAGGCACTTTGCGTGGCAGGCGTGGCGCTTGTCGACATGTGCCTTCGTTTTGCGTGGC